GGGCAAATCATCAATGTGTACAAAATAAAAATGAATAAACTTAAAACAAAGAGAAAGAAACTGTGGTGAAGAAAATTCTGTACCTTCATTGAAGTTTCAGGTGGCCAAGAAAGTTTCTGATAATGTTTAGTCAACAAGGTTGACCTCCAATTAGGTGCCATTCCCATAATAAAAGGAGGCCACCCTGGCTCAAAACTAGCTGTGAGATCCATTCCCATATCTAAGAACATGACTTTAAAGAAATGGTTCTTGGGGCTGGAGAGATGGCTCCGAGGTTAAGAGCACTTACTGCTCTTCCAGAGGTCCCGAGTTCAATTCCCAGCAACATGGTTGCTGGCTCACAACCATCTGGTGATCTGGTGCCCTCTTCTGGTGTGCAGATACACATGGAAGCAGAATGTTGTATACATAATAAATAAATAAAATCTTAAAAAAAAAACAAAAAGAAATGGTTCTCTCTCTCTGTCCTACTCTGTTCTTCCATTTCTCGGTCTCCCGTCGTAATAAACTCTATGATTAATATACTCTTTATGCTCTCCATGGTTCATGTTCCATAGAGTGTGCTTTTAATCAGAAATATAACATTTGGTGCCGAAACCCGGGAAAGCTAGTGAGAGAGAAATAGAAGAACATAACAGGACAGAGAGTGAGGAAGAGAGAGTGGCAGAGAGAGAGGAGAGAGAGAGAGAGAGAGAGAGAGAGAGAGAAGAGAGAAGAGGGGCAGAAAGAGCATAAATGGGCAGGGGTCTGTCTTTTAAAGAGGTCCTCTACACCTGCCTACAGACTTAATTCCCATGGAACGCTGGGCTGACCAGGGTACTGCCTGAGTGGATTCTGCCAGGTTAACAGGGGCAGGCCAGCATAATGCCTGAACCTTTCAATCCCACCTTTACTAGAAACCCTATCTCAAAAGACAAAAAAAAAAAAAAGAATACGGTGGAGTGGCTGGAGAGATAGTTCTCAGTTAGGAACATGCATTGTGCTTGGAGAGGACCCAAGAGTTCCTGTAGACCAGGCTGGCCTTGAACTCAGAGATTCACCTGCCTCTGCCTCCCGAGTGCTTGGAATAAAGGCACTAGTCACCACGCCCAGCTTTATAATTTAAAATTTTTTAAATACTAAAAATACAATGTGGAGAAGCAAGTGAGGAAGATAGCACACATGAATACACCAGCACACTCATGCATACATCACATATGCCCAATAAACAAACTGAAGTAGGGTTGCCACCACACTGGAGAAGCTACTCCTACACAAAGAAGGATGGCTGGGCTGTCAGTTGCTCAACAATGTGATAGTCTGTTGCATTATCTATTTTAAGTGAGTGTTTAACAATGTTGTAAGGATGTCTGTGAGATGCAGGGGTTTGCTGCCAAGGCTGAGGACTTGAGTTCAATCCCCTGAGAGGCATAGAAGCAAAGAATCCATCAATGTAGGTTGTCCTCTGACTTCCAAAAGGAAAAGAGGTGGATTGTAACTGAACATATCTCATTAACAATTATGCTCCAGTTTGCCTTAGAACTTGATACTATCTTTTAACTGGGGGAATAGAAGGTACACTTGTAACAGGAAATACTTTAATATTACTTTGTAAGACTAGGGACTGTTGCCAGCCCCCAGGTCCTATTGTTTGGCTGAAGGAAGGAAAACAATTCGACAGTTCATTCTTATCCAAATGGAAGGAGGGCAACTGGAATGGACTAATTTGACTGACCAGTCCCAATGTAACAATACAGACTTGAGCATAATTAAATATTTTAACAAAATCTAATAATAGAAACTACAAACGTATTAAGATGAAAAAGAGAAAACAGACTCCTTAGTAGATTCGATCAAAATTAACATGTCACTGTCTACAGCTAATAGATAGGATGCCAGTTTTTGGCTCCACATAGCGTCAAATAGCAGACAGACAAGTTCCTTTTAATTCTTCAATTCCTGGGCTCTTGGGAAAAAACTAACATGTTGAATAGGAGTCACATATAAACATTATGACATCATGCCAATTTAACAGGGGACTCCATAGAACATGCCCCTGTAAACATTTCCAAGGCTATATTGTACTGATATATGCCTCCCACGCAATGCTACTTCCAATCATGTGCTCCCCTAGGGAAAACAATTACACCCGTGATGAATTTTTTTTCTGTGAGACTAACACTTATTCTGTCCTCCCCAGAGGTTATAAAAGGGCATGTATGGGTGAGGGTGCATCACACCTATTTTATTCAGTAAGTCTCTACAACCGTTAATAGAATTATGAAGTCAGGGAACTGAGAATTGTGCTGACTCGCTACATCTGCTAGACCCCACCTCAATAGCAGTCGAAGCTGCCTTTGTATTCCCTGTGCCTGGATTGGTTGTGGGGGTGTAAAAGGGGATTTCTAAAGTAGCCTGCTAAATAGCTAAAACTACTAATAGTACAGCAAAGATACTGGCAAAAATTAATCACAAAATGGGAGAGTTAAGAATGACAGTCTTACAAAATAGAGCTATCATAGAGGTTCTGCTCAGACATAATCTTAGATATCAACAATTCCCTGGAATGTGTTGTTACAATGTATCATATTTCTCCCACACTATTAATAACCAAAGCAATGACTTACATAGAGAAATAAAATCTGCAAGGCACAGGTTGATTGGCATCTCAAGGCAGAGATGGTTCTTCCCCTTCATCAGACCCTTGATAGCTCTCTCATTAATCATAATATTTGGGCACTGTTTTTCAATGTATTTCTAGCCTTATCACACGAAAGATATTCAATGCCAGAATCCTGTTTACCCGACAACATCAGGCACCGCTGCTACCTTGTCAAAGATTTGGAAGGGTTACACAGGCCAAGGGGGGCATGGGAGTATATGTGAGGCAAAACAGGAGCAATATACCTTGCAAATCAAAGGGCCCATTATGTTAATCCCCTAAACTTTACAAAAATAGGTTTCTATTTAAGAGTAAGGCTGCTTCTTAAATCTAATGTGTGACCCATTAACAAGATGTACATACTCGTCTTCCTCTTTCATTGTATTTTTCTAACAATCTCTAACAGCCAATTGTCTCCCCTCTGTAACTACACAGCTTTTTTCTACTAATCTTTATCTCTCCCCGATAAAAGGAACCTCAACAGTCCAGTGCTTTTTAAATGCCAACTTAGTGCGAGACAGGCCAGTCCGGGTGTACCTCTAAATCGTAGCTTACTTTGAGTAGACAATCATGGATATTTAGTCTTTCTCCTCCCAAGTTTCAGGTTTAATACTTGTTAATACAGTAGGCATGATGGCACATGCCTGTAATGCCCCAATCCATTTTACTTGAGAGGCTGAGGCAGGATGATATCAAAATCAAGGACATCCTGGGTTATGGAGGAAGCCAGTTGTCTATTGGAAGCAAAAACTTAACCATCCCTCACAGAATCGAAGAACAAGCTTTGACAGAGCAATCCCAAGAACTTCCGGTTGGACACAGCGCCCCGTCGCCAAGCAACTTCCCAGCGTCAGACGCAGCCCCTACTGATTACTGACGTCTTGGTCTTCTAATGACCTTCAGAGCCCGGGCTCTCCTGGACCCCGATTGGCTATGCGCTGACACCCCGCCTCCCACCTTCCTTTCTTTGCTGGACGCTCGTGGGCGTTTCAGAGTTTGTTTTGTTTGGAAGCTGACTATAATAGCACCCAGGATGCCGCGTGGAAGCCGAAGCCGCTCTTCCCGGGTGTCCACTCCGGGCAGGTGAGACCCTCCTCTGGGCTGGGAACTGAGCGCGGGCGGCCAGGGCGATGTTCCGTAGCCAGAGGGCGGTGGGTGGTGAGACAGTGCGAGCAGTCGGGAAGGGATCCGCTCCTGGGGAAGAGGGCTCCCCGGGAACCGGGACACGCTCTGTGCACTACCGCATAGGACCCTAAAGCGTGAACTTATTCCTAAACTGCTTAGGAGGAAGAGCCTTAGAGGACATAGTCTACAAAGAAGCGGGGAAAGAATGATATGTGAAGGTCTTGAGGTGCTTTTGTCTTACTGTGTTTTTGAGCCCCTCAGACTAGCCTTGAACTTGATATATAGGTCTGGCTAGTCTTCCTTGAGTTTCCTGACTCCGCTTCCCTACGGCTGGGATTACAAGCTTTAAAGGTCTGTACAAAGGGAAAATTATTTATTTATTTGTTTGTTTAATGGTTTTTTGAGGCAGGGTTTCTCTGTGTAGCTTTGTAGACCAGGCTGACTTCGAACTCACAGAGATCCACCTGCCTCTGCCTCCCTAGTGCTGGGATTAAAGGCATGCACCACCACCGCCCAGGTGTTTGAAGATTTAAAATGAGGCTGGAAAATTGGGTTTATAGTTCACAGCACTTGCCGCTCTTTCAGAGGACACAGGTTTGATTCCCAGCATCCACATGGCTCCTCAAAACCATCTGTAACTCCAGATCCAGGTGATCTAACACCCTCTCTGGTGTGCAAGTGGCACAAAGACACAGATGCATGTAAACAGTCATACACATAAAATATAACACAATAAAATAAATCTAAAATGAAGCCAGGCGGATGACAAAGGCTTGTAATCCTAGCACTGGATGAGGCTGGTGTAGGAGCATTCATAGATTCAGAATACTGTTTTGGCTAGGGTTTTTGGTTGGTTAGTTGGTTTTTGTTTTTTTAGGAGAGGGTATCTTTTTCAGATTGGCCTTAAAATCACGATGTAGAATGAGGATGACAGTAGATATGCCAAAGTATATGTATAATTAAAAGCTCACAAGGCCTCAACCTACATGAGGAACTACAAGCAACTAAAGAATACTGAAAGGCAAGAGAGATAGTCTTCCCCAGAGAGAGCACACCCATTTAGTTATCCAATACCAAGAGGTCAGCCCTGAACACATACATACAAGTAACATACAGACTGAGGTTCTATGTAGGAATGTGTATGTATACACATATATGCATCTAGTAACAGCTAATAAAAAAAGAGGCCATGAATTTGAAATCAATCAAGGAGGGATCTATGGGAGGGGGTTGGAGCCAGGAGGGAAGGGAGGGCAGAAATGCTGCAATGATTATACTCTGAGAAACATTAGTGAAGAGGAAGAAATCACTGTAGCTGAGGATGGCTTTGGCCTATTGATTCTTCCTGTGTCTGCCATCCCAGTGCTGGCATTACAGGCTTGTGCCACCAAACCTGGCTTGCCGCATTTCTTCAGTAAATTCCAAAGCCATTTGGAACTGGGATCTGATGAGTTTTGTTCTTTTCTTTCCTAGCCGGGCCCCTCAGATGAGGGCTGCTCCTAGACATGCACCTGCAGCTCAGCCTCCAGCAGCAGCTGCACCATCTGCAGTTGGCTCCCCTGCTGCTGCACCCAGGCAGCCAGGCCTGATGGCCCAGATGGCAACCACTGCAGCTGGTGTGGCTGTGGGCTCTGCGGTGGGTCACACCCTGGGTCATGCCATCACTGGGGGCTTCAGTGGGGGTGGCAGTGCTGAGCCTGCAAGACCTGACATCACTTACCAGGTAAGAGTTGGGGCAGCTCTTCCTTTCTGTGTTTCTATTTTCTGAGAACACTGGGCAACTTGTATGTAGGAGCCCGTGTTTGGTTTTAGGATCCACAACTCTTCAAGTACAAAGTGGTGTGCCTCCCTCCTTCCTTTTCTTAAGTGGGGATTGCTGGAGGTATGGTTCAGTGAATAAGCACCTAATTCTGAAGCCATGTGGACCTGAGTTCAAAACCCATGAACCACAAAAAGTCAGGCCTAGCCATACATATTCTGTAACTCCTGCACTGTGTAGGGGAGACAAGCAGATCCCCTCAACTTGGCTGGCTGGCAGTTGTGGTGAAATGACCTGTTTCAGTGAGAGGCCCTGTCTCAAGGCAATAGGATAGAGAGTGGTAGAGGAAAGACACCCCATGTCTTGGTTGCCTCTCTTTGGGGCACACCCACCCAAATGCTCATGTTTGAGCATCACATCAAAAAGCCACATAGCATGACTTAAGTTAAACCTTTAGACAAGCATCAATAAATAGACAAGCATCAATAAATAGAACAGACTGGAAACATAACCGTCCAGCCCAACTTCTGTAAAATGGCCCTTTTTTATTATGTATACAGTCTTCTGCCAGCATGTATATCTGCAGGCCAGAAGGGGGCACCGGATCTCATACATGGTTGTGAGCCACCATTTGGTTGCTGGGAACTCGGGAAGAGCAGCCAATGCTCTTAACTTCTGAGCCATCCCTCCAACCCCCTGCCTTGGCTTTATCTTGGCTATACTGTTGGTTTCTGTTGTTTCGCTTGGAGACTAAGTCTTCAGTGTGTGACCCAAGCTGACTTCAAGCTTGTAGCAGTCTCCTTGTTTGGTTTCTCAAGTGTTGGGGAGTTACAGCCATGAGGCCTGGCCTTTCAGTTCAGTCTGTTACATAATCACAAGTCCCTTTCACAGCTTTTGACCTGATATTTTTCCCCCTCCCCCTCTCCCTGGGGTGTTTGCATTTTGAATGTGCTAAGGATCATGTACTCTTGAAATGTGGTGTATCTGAAGTTCTCATCCATCTCTTTCCAATAATAGTCCTATTTTTCCTTAAGAATGGTTCTCCTTTTTCTGTATGTATTTGTAGTGCTGCGGTTCAAACTCAGGGCAAACTACATAGTCCTACTATTCAGTCTCTTCCTAGGTTTGTTTGTTTGTTTGTTTTGTTTTGTGGTTTTTTCCCAAGATAGGATTTCTCTATGTAGCCCTGGCTGTCCTGGAACTTGCTTTGTAGACCAGGACATCCCTGTACTCAGAGACTTGCCTGCCCCTGCCTCCCTAAGTGCTGGGATCAAAGGTGTGCACTACCATCCCCCACCCTCCCCACCCTTTACCCTCCACCCCCCAGCCTCTAGCCAATGTAAATTTTTTTATTTTTTTTTATTTATTTTTTTTCCCAGACAGGGTTTCTCTGTGGCTTTGGAGGCTGTCCTGGAACTAACTCTTGTAGACCATACTGGTCTCAAACTCACAGCGATACACCTGCCTCTGCCTCCCGAGTGTTGGGATTAAAGGCGTGCCACCAACGCCCAGATAAACTTTTTGATTTTATATTAACAATTTTAGGAACAAGCCCAGGGCCTGTGCTGAGCAAACACTTCATAGAACGACTCTCCCATTCAAACTCCAGATGACCTGATTTGCCATGTGTTTGATTTTTGGTTTGAGTTGGAGGGTATTCTTTGTTCTTTTTTTTGTTTGTTTTCTTTTCTTTCTTTTTTTTTTTTTTATGTATACAACATTCTGCTTCCATGTATATCTGCACACCAGAAGAGGGCACCAGATCTCATTATAGATGGTTGTGAGCCACAATGTGGTTGTTGGGAGTTGAACTCAGGACCTCTGGAAGAGCAACCAGTGCTCTTAACCTCTGAGCCATCTCTCTAGCCCGTAATTTGTTCTTTAACCTTAAGGTTTGTCTTGCTTTCTGCCTTGAAATGTTTTTTACTACCACGTTACTGATGGAAAACTAAATTTGTACCTTTTTCTAGTTGTTTCCCCAGCTGAGTTGTTTCCCCGGCTGCCACTCTTGTGTACACCCACACTTTCTCCAGAATACCTACTCTTATGTCTCCGCAGGAGCCCCCAGGAGCCCAGCTGGTGAATCAGCAGTCTCGTGGGCCTTGTTCTCTTGAGATCAAACAGTTTCTGGAGTGTGCTCAGGACCAGGGTGAAGTCCAACTGTGGGAGGGCTTCAAGAAGGTGCTGAGGCAGTGCAGAATTGCAAATGGTAGGTGACCTGTCCATTTGCTCAGAGTGATAGTCCTGAACCCTCTAGGGTGGCCACTCTCAACTTGTGAGTTGTTGTGACCCCTTTGGGGTGGAAAGACCCTTTCACAATGGTCATCTAAGATCATTGGAAAACACAGATTTGTGATCATCTTAGGAACTGAGACCCTGCTTTGCCATAGTCTTTGCAGGTCTACGTACACACAGATAAGCTCACATAGGCATAACCAGCGTGATGACATCATTGTGCAAGCCTCATCACATACACCCTGTACAAATACAGGTATATGTGACACGGTTAGTGCCAAAATATAGTTATGCAGGCCAGTCACACGTGTAGAGAGCAGCTGCTGTGTTGCAAGCAGCAGTATTAGAGGTAAACTAATACTTCAGGAATTATAATTACTGGGTAAATGTAAATCATATACTGTAATGTGGATCTCTGTGAGTTTGAGACCAGCCTGGTTTACAAGAGCTAGTTCCAGGATAGCCTGCAAAGCCACAGAGAAACCCAGTCTCAAAAAACCCAAATAAATAAACAAACAAATAAAAGAGCATGTGTTGGCCTCCGCTACCACCACCACTTGGCGCCAGTTGGTTTTTAATGTTCAGCTGTGGGTGATGGGAATACTTCCCCCTGTGATAGTAACAGGTATGTTAAAAAAAATAAAGAATAAAAAAGAAACAAAAATCACAGAATGGTAAATCATAGGAAACTTTAATTTACTTCATTGACTGAACTATGCCACATAGCATCTTTTGTGTTATTAAAGCTATTGTGTATTATTTTCATTAGAGGGCCATCCCCCAAGAATGGATCGTGTAGAGAAAAAGGTTAAGAAAAGAAGATACAGTGAAGATTTTTTACAGTATGGTTTTACCTCAAAAATTACAGCAGAAATTGAGAAACCACAGTGTGTTATTTGTGGTGATGTTCTATCAGCAGAATCTATGAAGCCAAACAAACTAAAACGCCATTTTGATAGCAAGCACCTGAGCTTTGCGGGCAAGGATATCAGCTATTTTAAAAGCAAAGCTGATGAACTCAAGAAAGGCAGACTTGACACTGGCATCAAGTCTCCCAAACAGAATGTAGTAGCTGTTGAAGTTTCATATTTGGTGGCACTCAGAATTGCCAGGACTATGAAGCCTCACACTTTTGCTGAGGATTTACTGTTGCCAGTAGCCAAAGACAGTGTTGGAGTTATGATCGGAGACGAATTTGTTACGCAGTTGAGTGCAGTTTCCTTATCTAATGACACTGTTCGCAGAAGAATAGATGACATGTCTGCTGATATTCTTGATCAGGTAATCCAGGAAATTAAATCTGCTCCACTTCCAATATTTAGTATCCAGCTGGATGAATCCACAGAAGTTGCAAACTGTTCACAGTTACTGATGTACGTGAGGTATATCAATGATGGCGACTTTAAAGATGAGTTTCTCTTTTGCAAACCTCTTAACACAGCAGCCACTGCACGTGATGTATTTGAAAGAGTTGGTTCATTTCTGAAAGAGCACAAGCTTTCTTGGGAAATGGTTTGTGGTATTTGTACAGATGGAGCTCGGGCTATGCTAGGATGTCAGTCTGGATTTCAACATTTGGTACTGAATGAGTCACCGAAAGTCATTGGAACTCACTGTATGATTCATCTGCAAACGTTAGCAATGAAGACACTGCCACAAGACTTAAAAGAAGTCATGCAAAGCGTCATAAGTTCTGTTAATTTCATAAAGTCAAACACTTTAAACAGTCAACTGTTTTCACAACTGTGCAATGATTTGGATACACAGAACAAAGCTCTCCTGTTTCATACTGAAGGGAGATGGTTGTCCAGTGGAACAGTTTTTAAACGTGTTTTTGAGCTTCGTGATGAACTTAAAATATTTTTTAGTCAGAAAGGAAGACCGCAGTTGGAGGCACTTTTCAGTGATGAAAGTGAATTGCAGAAAATGGCTTATTTGGTGGACATCTTTGCCATCTTGCATGAGTTAAATTTATCACTGCAAGGGCCAAATGCAACTTGCCTTGATTTGTCTGAAAAGATCCAGTCATTCCAAATGAAACTTGAGCTTTGGCAAAACAAATTGGATGAAAATAAAATACACATGTTGCCTACCTTATCTGCTTTCTTTGAGGAGCATGACATTAAACCCTCCAAAAGGATTACAGTGATAATTTCTATGAAAAAACACTTGCACATGCTTGCACAAGAAATTTCATGGTACTTTCCAAATCTACCTGATGTCCCATTTGCCCTTGCCAGAAGCCCATTCACAGTCAACGTGGAAGATATTCCTGAGCCGGCACAAGAGGAGTTCATCGAACTTGTTAACAGTGATGCAGCAAGAACGGACTTCTCTACACTGCCAGTTACACAATTCTGGATCAAGTGTTTGCAGTCATACCCTGTTCTGTCTGAGACTGTGTTGCGCCTCCTCCTCCCATTTCCAACAACATATCTTTGTGAAAAAGGGTTTTCCAGTTTGTTGGTTATCAAGTCTAAATACAGACGTAGACTCGCTGTGGAAAATGATCTTCGTTGTGCTCTAGCAAAGACTACCCCGAGAATTTCTGATCTAGTGAGAAAGAAGCAGTCTCAACCTTCACACTGACATTTTTTTTTTTTTTTTTTTTTTTTTGGTTTTTTGAGACAGGGTTTCTCTGTATTGTTTTGGACACTGTCCTGGAACTCAATTTGTAGACCATGCTGGCCTCAAATTCACAGAGATCAGCCTGCCTCTGCCTCCCAAATCCTGGGAGCAAAGGCGTGTGCCACCAACTGACTTTGGCTTTTTACAGATATTGTGTGTGCAAAATGTAGCAAGTTCTGGTTGGTTTTGTTTGTTTGTTTGTTTGTTTTCAGATTTTGTTGTTATTTGTGGCAGGGTTTGTCTATGTAGCCCTAGCTGTCCTGAACCTTATGTTGTAGACTATGCTGACCTCAAACTCATAGAGATTCACCTATCTCTACTTCCCAAGTGCTGGGACTAAAGGCCTTCGCTGCCACCACCCAGCTACTGTTGTTATAGTAAGACCGTTGTTACCCATGCTACATCATGTGTCAAGACAAAAATTTATAATTAGAAAATATTTCACAATATATACATATTGTTTTGGGGGGATTAATCACTGTGCTTTAATGATTTTCAGCTTGTAACAATGAAAATATATCCTACGTATCAGATGTTTACCTTACAGTTCATTACAGTTATGAAATAGTAACAAATTAATTTTTATGACTGGTGGTCACCACAGCATGAACTATGTTAAATAAAGGGTCACAGCATTAGGAAGGTTGAGAAGATCTGATTCATAATTAAGTTTCAGGTGATCTGATGTCCTCTTCTGACCATCCCCAGGCACCAGCATGCATGTGGTCCAGATACAAACAAATAACTAAATCTTATTGATTAAAATTAAATTTAAAATTTAAAAAATGCCCTACAGACTTTCCTACACGAAATTTGATGGAAGCATTTTCACAATTGTGTTTCTTCTTCCCAGGTAATTCTAGTTTGTGTTAAGTTGACAATAAGTAGCCAGCATATCAAACTGATTATTTCTTGCATTGGGAGAAACCTTGTATAAGTTACATCCATCAGGAGATGTAGCCACAATATTATTTAAAAAGCTGACTTTTAATTTTTTTTTTTTATTCATTTATTTGGGTCAGGTGTGGCGTTCCACAACTTTTTTTTTTTTTGAAACAGGGTTTCTCTGTGTATCTTTAGAGCCTATCCTGGCCCTTGCTCTGTAGACCAGGCTGGCCTTGAACTTCAGAGGCCTGCCTCTGTCTCCCAAGTGCTGGGATTAAAGGTGTTTGCCACCAACGCCCAGTTTGGGGTTCCACAACTTTAATCCCAGCACTTGGGAGGCAGATGGGCCTCTGTGAGTTCAAGGCTGGCCAGAGCCATATGGTGAGAGCCTGTCTAAACAGAAACTATGTTAGTTACTTTTCTGTTGATGTGATAAAACACTGTGATCAAGGCAACTTACAGAAGAGTTTATTTGGGCTTATGGTTCCAGAGGGTTAAATCCTTCATGGCCTGGAAGCAGTAGGCAGAGTGGCTAGAGCAGGACACCAAGAGCTCACATCCTTTACTGTAAGCAGGAAGCAGCAATGGTAAACCAGGAAATGACATAATTCAAGCTCACCTTCAGTGCTAGATATGACGACACATGCTTTACAGAGTTCCAGACCATTCAGGGCTACATAGTGAGACTCTGTCTCAAACAAAATAATTTTTATAAAACCACTTCTATTCAAGGTGGTGGTGGCTCATGCCTTTAATCTCAGCACTCGGGAGTCAGAGGCAGGCAGATCTAGAGGCCAGCCTGGTCTAGAGAGTGAGTAGTGCAGGACAGCCAAGGCTACCCAGAAAGATCATATCCTGAAAAAAAAAAAAAAACCCACTTCTAGTGATACAATTTCTGCAACAAGGCCATACTTACTAAACCTCTTCAAGCATTGTTGCCAACTATTCATATACATGAGCCTACAGGGGAAGATCACATTCGAATCAAACTCTGAGAGTGTGTGTGAGTGAGTGAGAGTGTGTGTGTGTGTGTGTGTGTGTGTGTGTGTGTGTGTGTGTCCATCCTGCTACCTTGTGGGATCTGAGTATAGAACTCTGGTCACCAGATCTGTGTAGAAGTGCTTCTATCCGTTGAGCCATCTAGCTAGCTCTTGAACCGATATTTTTATTCTTGTTCTTGTTTGGTTCTGTATGTGTGTGTTCAAGCACATGCTTGTTCTTATACCCCATTCATTCACACATTTAGTGATGGAGGATGTTGACTGTTTTCCTCTGTTACTCTCCTATTCCCTTGGGATAGGGTCTCTCAGTGAACCTTCCCTGTTTTGACTAGGCTGGCTGGCCAGCAAGCCCCAGTGAGTTCTTGTACCTGTTTCTCTTGGTCCCTCTACAGGGATGAGGGGAAAGGTTTATGCAGCCCCACTTGGTGTTTTATGTGCATGCTGGGAATCCAAACTCAAGTCCCCATGCTTGAGTAATGAATGAGCCATCTCCCCAAACCTATTTCTTTAAAGATAAGTAGCCAAGGATGACCTTGAACTTCTCATTCTCTTGCCCTCTGCTTCCTAAATTCTGGAATTACAGGTATGTGTTACTGGGTGTTTTAGACAGTCTCCCTCTGTAATAGCCCTAGCTGTCATGGACCTCACGGATCCTCATGCTTTGGCCTTAATTTAACCTTTTTGTTTGTTTGTTTTTTTGAGACAGGGTTTCACCGTGTAGCCCTGGCTGTCCTATAACTCACTATGTAGACCAAGTTGGCTTTAAACTGAACAGCAGTCCACATGCCTCTCCCTTCTGAGTGCTGGGATTAAAGTGATATGACACCACCTCCAGGTCTTTAGCCCTTTGTCCATGTTTTTACTTAGCTCTTTCAGCATTCTTGTGATTTGATTATATTTGTGGAGGATTGTTTTGTTTTGAAATAAGGTCACACCTTGCAGTCCACTCGAGAGCTAGGATTACAACCATGGACCACCACACACAGTCTAGTCAATATATCATTTTTTTGAGATGTGGTCTTTTTTTTTAAGATTTTATTTATTATGTATACAACATTCTGCTTCCATGTATATCTGCACACCAGAAGAGGGCACCAGATCTCATTACAGATGGTTGTGAGCCACCATGTGGTTGCTGGGAATTGAACTCAGGACCTCTGGAAGAGCAGTCAGACTGTGCTCTTAACCTTTGAGCCATCTCGCCAGCCCCCGAGATGTGGTCTTGTTGCTAGATTTTTCTTGTCCTGCCTGGTCCCTTTTACTCCTTCCTCTGCTACATGGCAACCCTTTCTGGTGCTTCTCTGCTTACCTTTCCCATAATTCTCCCTGCCTCCTATTTCTGCCTATCTTCCTGCCTCATAGGCCAAACAGTGTTTTATTCATCAACCAATAAGCAAAACATATATACAGAAGGACATCTCCCATCATGGTCTCATTTAGCCATGGTCTCATTATGTAGCCCTTTCTGGTCTAGAGCTCACTATGTAAAGCAGGCCTTGAAATCATAGAGACCTGGCTGTCCTTGCTTCTACTTCCTAAGTGCTGGGACTACAATTGTATACTAGTAAGCCTGGCTTGTTTTCATTGGCCTGAGTGTTACTGTTTTGCTTAAATTAGAAAAAGAGGCGCAAGATGAGACATGAGAACAAGAGATACATTAACAATAGTTTAGATAGTTTATTATATCACAGGAGAGCGAGTGAGAAATAGAAGAACAGAGCAGGACAGAGTAAAAGAGAAGAGGCAGAGTTAATGGCTGACAGCCATGGTTGGTCACGAGAGAGAGAGAGAGAGAGAGAGAGAAGAGAGAGAGAGAGAGAGAGAGATACAAGCTTTAAAGGGAAAGCCGAGCATGTGCACTGAGGCTTCATGCATGTGCAGTGTCCTCACGCAGGTCGGTAATGCATAACAGGTGATGTGGCAATGATGGGCACATCACTGTGCATGCCCCGCCTGTTGTCAGGGGGCAGGGTCAGCCCCGTGTACCTCCTAACACTGAGGACTAGCATAGTGGGTTTGAGATCCTGGGATTAATCCCCCAAATGCTTTCTATATTAAGCCCAATACCTGAGTTTTTTTAAAAAGATTTTATTTATAATTATGTATACAACATTCTGCTTCCATGTATATCTGCACACCAGAAGAGGGCACCAGATCTCATAATGGATGGCTGTGAGCCACCATGTGGTTGCTGGGAATTGAACTCAGGACCTCTGGAAGAGCAGCCAGTGCTCTTAATCTCTGAGCCATCTCTCCAGCCACATACCTGAGTTTCTTTAAGGATGGTGTCTACTAATGATTGTTTTTCTTTAAAAATGATTATATTGCAGCCATTCAGATAGTTTATCAGGTGAAATTACTTGCTACCAAGTCTGATAATTTGAGTTCATCCTACAGGGTCCACAGGATGGGAGGAGAGAACATACAGAAACTTCCCTCTGACATCCATGTGTTTACACACACACAAAAAAATTTAAATTTAGATTCATTTAGTGAGTGCTGGGAATAGACCCCAGGTCCTCTAGAAGAGCAGTCTTAACCACTAAGAACTCTATCCTGCCCCTTGGTCATAAGACACTACTTAGGATGCCAGTCAGGATGTCTTCTCAGTTTGAGGCATGCTTTTGGGTATATGCTTTGAGGGAGAATGTAGATTGAGGAGGGACAACCCACCTGATGTAGGGCAGCACTATCCTGTGGGCAGGGGACTTGAATAAAAATGGAGGGGGGGGGGAGAGAAAAGCAAGCAAGGCGCTTGAATTCCCCTTTCTTTGCTTCCTGATTGACTAATGCAAATATGAACAAATAGCCTCATGATCCTGCCCACCGTGCCTTCCCATCTGACTGTATGTATTCTCAAATTGTGAGCCAATACACACCCGCTTCTAAACTGATTCTTGCCAAGTATTTGGTTATAGCAGGGAAAAAATAATGTTGAAGAGAATCAACATGTCACACAAAGAAACAACATGAGCAAAGTGAAAGTAATTCCGTAAACCTATTTTCTTTCGCAAAAATGAACCCAAACTGGGCTAGCCAATACATTCGGCCAAAGGGGCCTCCGTCTTTTATCCCTGTGCTGGGGATACAGGTGTGCACAACCACACCAGTGCTGGGGATGGAACCCAGGGCTTCGTGCATGCTAGGTAAGCACTCTACCCACTGAACCACATTCTCTTGTTCAGTCCCTTCAGGTTTTTGACCAAGGGAACCAGAAGGTTTACAATTTTTTTCTCTTTTTTTTTTTTTTTTTTTTTTTTTGGAGGCTGTCCTGGAACTAGCTCTTGTAGACCAGGCTAGTCTCGAACTCACAGAGATCCGCCAGCCTCTGCCTCCCGAGTTCTGGGACTAAAGGCGTGCGCTAGCACTGCCCGACTGATTTACAATTGTTAACAATTGCTGCTCCACAGGGTCCTAAAACAATTCCCAAATCTGGAACAAAGAAGCCTTGCTTAGAACCCACGCCCCTCTGTGAGGTCACAGAGGGTTCGCCCCTACAGGGGAACCAATAGGAGCACTGGGCGGGACCTTTCGGCATTACAGTCACACACCACCACCCATGGCTTAGTTGTCATTTCTGACCCCTCAGTTTCAGCTGCAGACTCATGCAGGTAGAAAGGCGATTATTTATGTGCTGGAGACGCTGCCCACTGCGGGCTTCGATGATGAGCTGTACGACTGCCTAGATTACTACTACCTGCGTGACTTCCCAGCTTCCGGAGCTGGCCGCAGCAAGGGCCGGACGCGGCGCGAGCAGCAGCTGCGCACCAACTACCCGGTGCCCGGCGGCCATGAGCGCAAGGTGGCGCAGACACTGATCAACGCGCAACGTAAACGTCGCCAGCGCCAGCTGCAACCGCGGCCGCGCACGCGCCTCACCTGAGCGGATATGGGCGGCAGAACCGGTTGGTGGTGGGTAGGAAATAGAGTACCTCGTATCTCAGTCTGGTCTCGAACTCACTATGTAGAGGAGGATTACCTTGAACTCTAGATCCACCTGTCTCCAGCTTCCAAGAGCTAGAATGTTAAGACATGCGCCACAATGCCTGGCTTCCTTCCTTCCTTCCTTCCTTCCTTTTTTATTTTTATTTTCTGGTTTTTCGAGACAGGGTTTCTCTGTGTAGCCTTGGCTGCCCTGGAACTCTGTAGACCAGGCTGCCCTCAAACTCACAGAGCTCTGCTCCCCTCTCCTCTCCCAAGTACTGAAATTACGGCATTTGCCTCCATCGCCCGACATTTTTTTTTGTTTGTCTTTGTTGTTTTGTTTTGTTTTTTTCGAGAAAGGGTTTCTCTGTGGCTTTGGAGGCTGTCCTGGA